ACTCTCTTTTGATTGTATTTAGTCCATTTACATTTAAAGTAATTATTGATAGGTATGTAATTATTGCCATTTTGTTGTTTTCTGGTTAATTTGCATTTCTCTTCTGTTGTCGTCCCTTGTGGTTTGAGAACTATTTTTAGTGTTATGTTTAGATTCTTCTCTATTTATGGTGTATCTGTTAAGAGGTTTTTGGTTTGTGGTTACCCTGAGGCTCATATATAACAACCTATGTATATAGCAGTCTGTTTTAAGTTGATGGTTGTTTACATTTGAAAGCATTCTGGAAACACATTTTTACCTCCCCATGTTTTGTTTTTTGACGTATTTTATGTATCCCTAATTACTGTAGTTGATTTTACACTTTTTTCTTTTAACCTTCCAACTAGCTTTAAAGTTGTTGATCCACTACCTTTACTGTATGTTTGCTTTTACCAGTGAGTCTTTCATAATTTTCTTCTAGTTATGGTCTTTTCTTTTCCACTTAAATAAGTTCCTTTAATATATCTCATAAGGCTGATTTACTGACGAACAATTCCTTTAACTTTTGTCTGAAAAACTTTCTCTTCAATTCTGAAGGATAATCTTGCCAGGTAGAGTGCCCTTGGTTGTAGGTTTTCTTACCACTTCCTTCTGGCCTACAAAATTTTTGCTAAAGAGTCAGCTGATAATCTTATGGGGGTACATGGTTTTTTTTTTTTTTTCTTAAGATTCTCTTTTAGTTTTTTAACATTATAATTATTGTATCTTGGTATAGACCCCTTTGAGTTCATCTTGTTTGGGGCTCTCTTTGCATCCTGGACCCGGATGTCTGTTTCCTTCCCCAGGTTTGGGAAATTTTCAGTTATTATTGTTTCTTCATGTAAATTTTGTCCCCCTCTCTCTTCTCCTCTGGGACCCATATAATACTAATGTTAGTACACTTGATGTCGTCTAAGAGGTCCCTGCAATTATCCTTATTTTTTTTTTTCTTTTTGTTCAGCTTGGGTGATTTCCACAACCATGGCTTCCAGATGCTGGTAGTACTTGTGCATAATCTAATCTGCTGTTGATTCCCTCTAGTGTATTTTTGTTATTCTTCGGGTCTGATTGGTTCTTTTTTATATTTTCTATATATTTGTTGAAGTTTTGTGTTTCTTCCAAGTTTGGTATCTTTATGACCATTACTTTGAACTCTTTATCAGTAGATTGCTTATCTCTGTTTCATTTAATTCTTTTTGAGGTTTTGTCTTGTTCTTTGGTTTGAAATATATTCCTGTCTCCTCATTTTGCCTCTCTGTTTCTGTATATTCAGTAGATCAGCTGTGTCTCCCAGTCTTGGAGTGGCCTTATGTAGAAGGTGTCCTGTGGGACTCAGAAGTACAATCCAATCTGCTTATCACCAGAACCAGGCACTCCAGGGTTGTCACATGTTGGGAGTGTGCACTCTCCTGTTGTGGCTAGGGCACAACTGCTGTGAGCATGCTGCTGGGTAGAACTGACCCCCAGCTTAGCTGGTTGCAGCACCCAGGTACAGTTGCTGTAGATGCACTGGTAGGCTGGGCTGCTACCCCAGAGGAGGAGCCACTTTGGGGTGAGAGGAGCATTGGATCAGACCAAGGCAGCCCACTGAGTGTAGTGGCATGGGAGCTGTTTTGGAGGGGTACATGCTGGAGCAGGCTGGTTAGATGGATCAGGTCTGCAGGGGAATGCCAGGTAGGACAAGGCAAGCAGTACTAGCTAGCTAGGTAGAGCCAGAAATGGTGCCTACCACCACTAGACCAGCTAGGTCCTTTGTCAAAGATTAGTTGTATATAATATACAATACAATAAATAATTATGTTTATTTCTGGGTTTTCTGTTCTGTTCCATTGATCTAGGTGTCTGTTTTTGTGCCAGTACCATACTGTCTTGATGATGACAGCTTTGTAATATAACTTGAAGTCCCTAATTGTGATACTTCCAGTTTTGTTTCTCCTTTTCAAGATTGCCTTGGCTATTCAGGGTCTTTTGTGGTTCCATTACAAATTTTAGGAGTTTGTCTAGTTCTATGAAAAATGCTGTTTGTATTTGGATAGAGATTGCATTAAATCTGCAGATTGCTTTGGATAGAATAGACATTTTACCAACATTTGTGCTTCCAATCCATGAGCATGGAATGCCTTTCCATTTCTTTGTCATCTGTCATCAGCATTTTATAGTTTTCAAAGCACAGGTCTTTTACCTCCTTAGTTAAGTTTATTCCTAGGTGTTTTATTATTTTTGGTGCAATTGGAATGGCCTTAATTTCTCTTTGCTACTTCATTATTTGGTACAGAAATGCAACAGATTTCTGCATATTGATTTTATAACCCATGATTTTACTGAATTCATTTATCAGTTCTAGTAGTTTTTTGGTGGAGTCTTTAGGATTTTCTATATATAGTATCATATCATCTGCAAATAGTAAAAGTTTTACTTCTTCCTTGTCGATATGAATGCCTTCTATTTCTTTTTCTTACGTGATGGCTATGGCTAGGATTTCCCACTTGTGATTTTTTTTAATGTATTGTCAGTTTACTATTATTTTGTTGAGGATTTTGCATCTATGTTCATCAGCTATTGTCCTGTAGTTTTTTGTGCTGTATCTAGTTTTGGTATCATAGTATGAATTTGTAAGTTTTCCTTCCTATTTTTTGAATAGTTTGAGAATAGGTATTAACTCCTTTAAATGTTTGGTATAATTCACCTATGAGGCCATCTGGTCCTGGACTTTTGTTTGTTGGGAGTTTTTGATTCCTGATTCAATTTCATTTCTGGTAATTGGTCTATTCAAATTTTCTATTTCTTCTTCAGTTTTGGTAGGTTATTATGTTTCTAGGAATTTATCCATTTCTTCTAGGTTTTCCAATGTGTTATATAATTTTTCATAACCTCTTATAATTGTATTTCTGTGGTGTTGGTTATTTCTCCTTTCTCATTTGTGTTTTTTTGAGGAGTCTGGCTAGAGATTTATCAATTTTGTTGATCTTTTCAAAGAACTAGCTCCTGGTTTCATTGATTTTTTTTCTTCTTTAAGAGCTTCTGTATCATTTATTTCTGCTCTGATTTTTATTATTTCCTTCCTTCTGCTGGTTTTGGGTTTTGTTTGTTCTTTTCCTAGCTCCTTTAAGTGTAAGGTTAGGGTGTTTGAGCTTTTTCCTGCTTCTTGAAGTAGGCCTGTATTGGTATAAACTTCCCTTAGAATTGCTTTTGCTGCATCCCAAAGATTTCTTGGTTGACCCATTCATTGTTTAGTAGCATGTCATTTAACCTCCATGTATTTATGGTCTTTCCAGATTTTTTTCTTGTGGTTGATTTCTAATTTCACTGAATTGTGGTTAGAAAAGATGCATGGTAGGATTTCGATCTTTTTGAATTTGTTGAGAATGTTCCATGTGCATCAAGTGACTCTTTGATACAAAATTGTGTTAACTGGTTCTAATGATTTTATACATATTGTTTATTTTGATACTTAAAAGTAAAATGAATGGAAATTATACTGAAGGCTAGTAAAACATTTAATATGATTTGATTTACTGGGGCTATGAATATAAACACATGTGAAGCATCAAAAATAGTAAGTACTTTACCCTTTGCTTATATAATAAGTCCTCGTTCTGTGTGAAATATTAGCAATGACTGAAGTCAATGGGGCACAGCAGTGGAAAAGACCTGAAACAACATTTTGGGGGAATCTGGTTTTCTAATAATGCTGCTGTAAGAGTTAAGGAAACAAGTGTAGTTTTTTTAAAAAAAAAAAACAACACTAATTTAATTATGTTTATTCACATATAGTTGCCATTAAAAGGTTAACTCATAAAAACATTTCTTCTATTGTAATATCCTTTGCCTCTTCTCTCTTCTAAATCAATCCCCACCACATAGCAGAAATGTTAGAAGTTATACTGCAAAGGGAGCAGATTAACTTTTTAACCTTTAAAATACAGCTTATGAACAATTTTACAGAGCAGGTTGCCTATTAGTACGTTACATATTAACAGATCTATGGTAGCATTTTGGACAATCAGATTTGCTTTATGTAAAGATGGAGCTGGAATTTTTGCTAAGAAGGTAGTTAAACGTCTTAGAGTTTTTATAAAGAACTGAAATCCCATACCATAAAGTGTTATCTTCAGTTAATAATTTTAAATCAAGCCAGAAACTAGATCCAGCTCTGGGAAAACATTTTTTTTTTTTTGTATGCATCACATAAACACTGCTCCAAGTGTCTATGCAGATACTTAGAAAAGAAAAACAGATTCTTGTTCTGGATACACATCAAAACCTAGATTACCTTTGTATAACATTTATTTAAAAATTTGACAAGAACATGTTAAATGTTGGCAAAACTAACAGCACTCAATTTGATTATACATCTCCTAGCTTTCACAGAATTTCTGAGCTCACAAGACTCAAGTTCTGTTAGGATAGAGTCTTTCATTCATCAATGTATACCCAGCATCTGACACAGTACATGGCATAAGGTATGTGTTCAATAAATATCTGAATGTTGAATATAACTCTTTAACAGCAAATGAAAAAAAGATACAACTCTGAATAAATGGCATGAGAATACCAGTTGTCTCATGATGCAGCAATAGGTGCTTTTTGTAAAAATTCTAGGATTACTTATAAGTAGATCAAGAATTAGATAATTTCCTCTCAAACGAAAGCAGCTCTCATGGGGGTGGGGGGAAGTGAAGGAAGCTGCAACTTTTTTTTTTTTAAAGATTTTTTTATTTACTTGTCAGAGAGAGAGACAGAACACAAGCAGGGGGAGAGGCAGGCAGAGGGAGAGGCAGGCTCCCTGCCGAGCAAGGAGCCTGATGTGGGACTCGATCCCAGGACACTGGGATCGTGACCTGAGCCGAAGGCAGCGGCTTAACCGACTGAGCCCCCCAGGCGTCCCGGAAGCTGCAACATTTTATCTTTCAAAGCTAATGTGTGAAACATGGAATATGAGCTAGGTGAAAACTACCATGATATTAAAAGTAAGGCAGTTCCAAAACTAATGTTTTGCATATTTATTAAAGAATCCATTTTCTGACAATACTCCTAATACTAGATGAAAATATTTTTTAAAGGTTTCACCAAACTCCTAATATGTCTAAGCAGCTCATCCTTTTAGTCTTTGATTCCATGTTAGAGTTTTAAATATGGAAGAAATCTATTAAGACTCAAAAGCATTAAAAAAAAACTGTCTATGACCTAAAAAAAGCTACTGGATAATTAATACATTTGTAACAGTATCATGATTTTTTTCAGATATACTTCATTTCACCCAGCACTGTCAAAATTAACCTGAAAGTCAATTATTAAATGAAAACATCGATAATTTCAAAAATGATTGAACTTAATAAAGAGCCATAACAATATTGTATTCTGAAATTAGAAAATTCTAAGCACATATAAAAAACGCATTTACCTACTTCAATTAGGTCAATGTCAGGATTTATCAAAATTCTCCATCAAAATTTTTTAAAAATCTTGATTTTTTAGGTACTATAAAAAATATACACTAATCATATGATATGTGTTTGGTCTGACCAATTCCACAGTTAGGAAAGGGAAGAAAAAAAAAAAACGTACAGTGAAATTTCAAATCCTAAACATTTAATCCTTTATTTGAGCCTACCTCTCTAAAAAGATATCAGTACTCTTGGATACCAACTATAAGCAATATAGAACTTTCACTGGTATCAATTCTAATCAGTTTAGTCCATCCATTTTCTAACACAGCGAACAATCTTTTCTATCCAAATCCAAAAGAAGAATAATGCAAATCTCACTTTCTTGGTCACCTTTGAAGCTCAGGGCCAACCAGTCTCAATAACAACCAAAATACGTAGCTTTATGAGTCTGTTTCTGCAGTGAAATGAAAGCATTTCCCAGTAGTCAAAATTTGTCATCTGAGGAAATCTTTCATTGTTCTAGAAGCACAGTTCGAAGCTCATCTTCTTTATTGATCATCATCGAAGCAATTGCTCCATCATTAAACTCAAAAGAAGTACCTCCATCCACAACCATGCAGGCATCCCAACAACGAGAACGAACACACACCCTGAGCAGAAAGAAACATCTCATTAAATATTAAGTTTTCTTAACCTTGAATTATGGTTTCTTTAAAACTCTTATTTTTATTGAAATTGGCAGATAATTTGGCCTTGATTTTTAAAATCAAGTTCTTTGGTTTGAGAGAGTAACTATGTATATATGGGTACATTACCAAAATCTAGTATTCAAGATAGCTCCCTTCACCCAAACAGTTATGAGGGAACAAGTTCAGACTTGATGGAACTCACAGGCTTTTTTCGTATGAGAAAATGTTATTATTATTACAAGTACTAATATTGAACAAGAATGTAACTATTTTCATGGATAGTTTTTACTTAAGTATAACACATGAAGAGGCACAAATTTGTAGTGTACAGCTCAGTAAACACATTTGTGTAGTCATTCCTCACCCAAATCAGGAATCAAATGTTCCCCAGAAGCCCCTTGACTGCCCCTGGCCCTGCTCCTTCCTACACATGCACTATCCTAATGTCAGTCACCATAGTAGTAATAGCTCTGTTTGTTCTTAAATTTTATATAAATGGAAGAATAGGTTTGCTTGTATCTAGCTTTCTTTTGCTTAACAGTATGCTTTTGAAATTTATCCATGGTTATTACCATTAGTAGTAGTGTGTTCATTTTCACTGCTGTATGAAAACACTTCCATTGTATAAAAATACCAAAATTTATGGATCTCTTCTATTCACTGACACCTGAGTTTTTACTACTGGAAGTAGTGCTGCTATGTATATTCTTGAGCATCTTTTGTTGCAGACATTTGTGTATATACGTTTCTGTTGGATATACACCTAAGAGTGGAACTGCTGGGTCAATGCATGTGCTATATACAGCTTTGGTAGGTAACTGCCAAACAACTTTCCAAACTATTCCTAACAATATATAAGTGGCAGTTACTCCCACCTTACAACAACTAGCATCTTAGCTCTTCTGGTGAGTATATGGTATCAGAATATGTAGTTTTAATTTGCATTTCCCACATGAATAATAAGGTCAAGGACGTTTTTCATACACTTCACCATTTGGATACCTTCTTCTGTGAAATGACAGTCTGAAACTTCGGCAATTTTTGAGCTGCCTTTTCTTATCGAGTTGTAGGAATTTTTACAATATTCTGGATATAAGTCCATTGTTGGATATAGGTACTGCAAATATCTCACAGGCTTGCCTTTTATTTCCTTAATGTTGTCTTAATTAACAGAAGTTCTTAATTCTAATATAGTTCAATTTGTCAGTCTTTTGTTGATAAGTGCTTTTTATGACAAGTTTAAGAAATATTGTCCAACTGCCAAAGTCATGAAGCCTATTCTGTTTATATGAGCAAAAATTTAAATGTCTTTGTAGTCTCACCTAAACGGAGTATAGATTTATTGAGTAATCAAAATTAACTCTCAAATGAGTAAAATGAATTTCCTTGAGTGTTTTTCCTAGAAAAAAATCAACAGTATTTTCAAAAAAAGAATATGTACACTGTATAAGCAGCAATTCAAAATTAAACCATACTTTGCCTGCCATGAGACAGATGACTTTTCAGTGTTTTTGTTCAGAAAATTGGACAACCTTTACAAAATAAATTATATATTTTTTTATATCCACCCTTCAAAAAAACTCTGATAGATGTGGGAAGGGGGGGTTACTTTTAAGGAAAAGGTGACAGAAATGAGTCCTACTCTAAAAGTTTATTGCTATACAACTGAGGTTTTATAGAATGTTTATCCTGCTTTTATCCCATAGCATATGAAAAAGTTGCTTTCCAGTTTTTTTAAAAGTGATAGTTTGATCTTATTGTGTCTTAATATGTTAAAACAACAAATCCACATCACCCAATTAAATAATTATGCCCCTTCTATTCACTTACAGTTTCTCTAAAATGGTACAGTATGTTAGGAAGGAAAATACCATTCTCACCAGGGTACAGCATGACACCTCATTAGTTCCACGAGTTCTATACTTTTCCTACCAGATTAGTTTGAATGAGTGCATTTCATCAAACTGAATACTTTAAAACCAAGACTCCTTTATAATTACAAGCAATGAAAGCACAGTCAGAAGTCAGCCTTTGAAAGCTTACTTTGAGGTGAAGCAACGCTGACGGCTGCTGGAGAAAACTCTGTTTGCTATTGGTTCTCGAATACTGAAAAGTATTTTTGGTTCTTCTGGACTGTAGAGCAGCGATTCATTATATTCATTTGTTACTATGAAGGGAAAAAAAAGTATTAGCTCAGTCAATGAAAGAAGGTCACTTCTGAGAAGTGCAAAATGAAAAATGAATGCTATCCTGTCCTCAAAACCACACACACACACACACACACACACAAAACCTTCAAAGCCTGTATCAACCACAATATAGCAGAAATAGACATAGTGGGCGGGGTGGGGGCTACAAAACCAGTAATTAAACAGAAGTAAGGAACTAGCTTGAGGCACTCAAATGGAACTTGAGTTCCGACAGTCCCTTGCCAAGTTCCCTTGCAAAATACCATGTCAAAGTGTTCATAAGTTAATTGTCTTGATATAAAATGCACTCTTAAACAATGACAGGCAATATGCTTTCTCTAATGAAACTGCAATTACTCAAGATATGTTTAGAAATCTTTGAGACCTGTTTCTCATAACCAAGAGGCACGTGAAAGTTGATAGGCAAAGCACAAATTGGTCAAAAACAACTGTACAAAGAAATCAGGCTTGTAAGAACGTTTAGTTGAACACCACATTAAAACAGATCATAAGACTGTCAGATAATCTAGCTTATTTACCAAAATTTCACTTAAATTATTTGGCTCTTTGAAATCTAATTCACTCTCAAAAATAAAAATTTGCTTCTCTGGGAACGAATACACACGAACACATACACACACCCCACCCCACCCCCAGCTCCAGGGGCACCTAGCTGGCTCGTCACTAGAGCATGCGATTCTTGATCTCAGGGTCATGAGTTCGAGCCCCATGTTAGGCATAGAGAGAACTTAAAAAAAAAAAAAGTGCTAGCTCTGAAAGAAGTAATTCCAGAAATGTCTGTAACAATGACTGCACCCCTGGCATTCACTATTGTTTCTAAGGACAAATTTTCAAAGGAGTAACATTCATTCAATAAAGCAGAAAAATCACTATTTTATATATACACCCTTAAATTTACATGCCTGATACAAATTTCAGTTCTTTTATATAATTATGTTTTAAGTTAAATTATATAATGAATAAATTACTATAAATGCCTAATTTTCCTTTCTTTGATGCAGATTTAATGTTAATCTTTTTGGTCTCCAATTGAGAGAACGAAAAAGTCCATTTTAGAGAGCTGAAAAGGACGTCAGAGATTTAGTCCTGTTTTCAAACTATTAAAGGCCAAGCATCTCCCCCAACAAAGGAAGTCTTACCTGGAAATCCAAAATATACACTTAAATGAACTGACACTATTACATATGTAAGTAGATACACTATGAAAAAGTTTGGATTTTTTAAAAAACAATTGACCTTAATCTTAGGATACTCTTCAACTAAACAGAGACAGAAAGGAAAGCTGTAGTGTGAAGTCTGTACAAAAATGTTCCTGATAGATGAGATGGGACTGTAGTGAGTTAATTTCATATGCAAATCAAACGAATGTGTTTTCCTATTTAAGAATTTAAATATTTAGAAAAAAAAATTTTAGGAATACAGTTGAAGAATCCCTATGCATTCATTACCAATCTACTTCCCCTTCCTCATTTTGCAGTCCAGGAAGTAGAGGAATGGAATCAGTCTTGCTCATATTTTCAGTGAGTGACTGGTCTGGGATTGGAGCCCAGGTCTTCAAACTCCCTGATCAGTAGTATTCTTTCCCAACACGGCTAGTTCTCTCAAGGGAACCCTGAAGCAACTGGGCAGGAGTAGGTAGTCAAAAGTTATAAAGAGAACATTTTAGTGAATGTGATGATAAGCATTCACAGCTCAGTGAATTCCATCTCATTCAGAGCATATTAATGGCATACTGAGTCTAAGTAAGCATTTCCCATTTGCCAGATCTATATTTTTCTATATTTTCCTATCCCCCAGGACATGTTTGTAGCTAACACCCGTTTTGACATAAAGGTTATATTTCATAGTTCACAAAAATATAATATATAAAAAGTCCAGCTCTAAACTTTTCATTGCTTCAATACATGTAAAGGGATATTATATCAAGAGCCTGTTTGAGTCAGAAAAGTACTAGGCTTTGCTAATTAGACAAGTAGACTTCACAATGACGTCCTCAAGATCGATGCAGAACTTAAATGAAACTGTTAGTAATTATGATCATTAGTCACTGACCTTTTTCTACCAATTCTCTGTTCAATGGAAGACTTAAATTTCCTTGTCGTTTTGCTATTGAAAAAGGGGGAAATTTCTTGATTAAATATCTTGTGTCATATAATAGCTAACATGTAATAAAATCTATACATTATTTAGCATATTATAACATACTAGCTATTTTGGTACTCACCAATATTTAAAACATCTTCCACAGCCTGAGTTGCAACCCTGTTAATATTGAATGACCTAGAAACAAACATCACGTAAGTTCTTTAATTCTAAAAACATACTAAAAATGAAAAAGGAATTATCTACTTAATATACAAAAGAACACTTAGAATTATCAAGAAAAAACAACCAAAAGATAATAGCCCCTTCACCCAGTTTTAAAAAGTGGGCAAAGTACATAAACAGTTTACAGGTCTATATGAAAAAGTGTTCAATTTTACTCCTACTTAAGGAAATACAAATTAAAGACTGATAATATATTGGCATGAGTATGAGAAAAACATTCTCATACACTGATGGAAAACTTGCAGTTGGAGGGCAATTCTGCCCTATTAAAATTTAAAATGAACATATTCTTCAATCTACTAATTTATCCTAAAATATACTTGCATCTATAATACACAAAGACATGTACAAGGTTATTTACAAAGCATTGTTTATAATAGCAAAACAACTCATTCACAGGAAGCAGGTTAAATATGTTACTATGTAGATATTAAAAAGAATAAAACAGAACTGTATGTGCTGATAGATAATGGATATGTTAAAAAACCAAAGGCATTATGTAGTATATATAAAACAGGGAAGTAAATATTACATATATATATATATATATATATGGGGTGGTTGTCTTGAGATTAGTACTAGAGATATGAAATGAAAGACTAGCTTTTCATTTGATATCCTTTTATACTATTTAACATATTTTTAATGTGTAAATATCTCTAAATTATAAAACAGAAAAGATGAGAAATCTTTACTGCTGTGTGATGCCTTGCTTAACCACTTAAGAACAAATGTTAATACAAACATGAATCACTTTTAAAAGTAGCTCTGTCCTTGGGTCTACCAAGATGGTTATGGAAAGTTTTGTTTGTTTTTTCCCAGTGATTTAGAATTCTTCTGCTGCCTCACAACTCTTCTCACATGGCCTCAGTAGGTAACAATGACCCACACATTCTCAACGTAATTCAGTGACTCAACCTTTTTGAGGAGGGGAGAGTAACAGATACTCTTGCATACCCTTCTAACCCTATACCCTTCACATTTTGAGAAATATGATAACATTTTGGGCATTCTCTTAACAATGCAGATACACAAATTTTTATATTAAAAATTTGGGGTCATTCACAGACCACATGCCTATGCTAAAAAAATCTCAAACTAGCCATTGCCTACTGTTTTTCACCATTATCTACTCTCCAATTTCATATTGCAACCACACCAAGCCCATTCTTGCCTCTGTACCTTTGCTCATACTTACTATGTGGCATGAAGCAAAATAAGTGTCCTGACTCATTTTTTAGTATGAGGTTTGCAATACCTATCTCATTAGAGTTACTGCCACACACTACAAGGTCAGGCATCTGCGGCACCACCTGGCTCATGGCAGAAACTCAATACTGAATGAAAATATCAAATGAAAGAGATGTGCATGAGTTATATTCTAATTCTTCTGAATATTCACATTATTGGAAGATACGGTTTTAGAACTCTATTTTAAATTAAAAGTCACATAAAATGAGCTCTTTTATTAGGGTTTCATTGAATTAAAATATTGAAGTTAAGACTTAAGAGAACAAAAGTCTCATACAACTTGATCTAATAGTCCTAGAACTAGGACTTATTCGGGATACCACAAGACAACCCAAACTAAGTCCTCTGAATTGGGCTTAAATTAAGAGGAATTTCCTATGGTTGCAACCTGGATTTCAGCCAGTTCACTCTCCCTTTAGGAGTGGTTTATATTCTACATCAAAGACAAACCATATGCCTAAGAAGGTATTAGCTAGCACATGATGATTTTTTCTTAGATCTACAACCTTCACCATTCTAAGAGTTCCCATTTGAAATCACACATAATTTCCACTAAAGACAATCCAATTCAAAGACAAATCGAATCTCCTATCTTAAGCTAGTAAAGCTTTCTCTTCACTTAAGAACATTTACCCTTAAGTTGGCTAAGACAATGTATGGAGGAGGGGGATTGGCAACAGTCCTAAAAACTAACAGAAATATATGTGACTGAACTCTGTAGTACTTCTCCCAGTGAATGTAGCTAATTCCACACTAAGTAGAGGACAGAGATGACAATGAGATAATTCAGAGATAACTTGCTATGCAACATAACCCTGTCTTGTGGAGGAATTTTTAGGAATGCAAAATGGGATAGCTAATCCCCAGACTCTCTGCGTGTGTGTGTGTGTGTGTGTGTGCATACACACATAGGCTATCTTCTCCGTCCTTCCTTGTCATAAAGCCATGTGACTGAGTTCTAGCTACAGGAATGAGAGTAGAAGTCATGCACAACACGTCTAAACCTGTGTCCCATAAGCCTCCCACAGGTCATCCTCCATGCTTTTCCTCCTCCTCTGGCTTGATGTATATAAGTAGAGAGACTTTAGGATTTATGTTTAAAAGATGGTTGAGCCACATGATGGAAGGAGCCTGGACTCTGAGTCACTACTTGGAGATCCACCTCCCAATGAGGACGCACCTGGACTTGATAAGAACAAGAAAGAAACTTCTATGGTGTTAAGTCACTGAGATTGGGGGTTTATCAGTTACAATAACTATCTTACGCAAAGTTAAACATTTCCACATTTCATATTCAAAGCAACGACTGAGAGGTCACAGAGGAAAACTTCTATCTCTCTGTGCAAGAATTAAAAGAGTAAAAGAAATAGGCTATTCTATTCCTTTCTTTCCAGTGATTCCTGAGGTCTACAGTTTAGAGTTAAGTCCAGAACTTAAATCCTGTCTTCACCATTTATTAGCCACATGGCTTTGGGAAACTCCTGAGACCTTTTAATAATACTCTATTAATAAAAATAAAATCACTTATTTCCAGAGTATTTTTGAAAATTTAAATAATATATGTAAGCTCAAGACAAAGAAAAAGCTTAGAAGTGGTAGTTTGATAAAGTTATTAACCTATAGAAATGTACAGCTTTCCCTCAGCCCTTCTGGCCCCCAGGCTTCTCTTCTCTCCACCCATTTTCTAAACAAAAAAAGGACAAAAGATGAATGGGAAATGCAATCACAGCAAAAGAAGGATCAGTAATGGGAGGGAGTAAGGTAGAAGATGTTAGAAGCAAGCAAGCTACGTAGGGCTGAACAGAGAAGAGGCTGAGTGACCAAGGTGGCAGGGACAGACAGTTCTAGACCACAACATCGGAGACAACATGAGACTTTAATAAGCAACATAGAAAAGACTGAAATCCTAATATAAGCCATACTTACTCATGTCCAACATCAACACAGGACTCAGCTATGAAGTGTGTGGCAGTGGAGGGCAGGACTACTTTACAAGCCTAATGGCTCTTATTCTTTATGCTCTTCTTACTATTAAAAGGTTGAAAACTAAAACTATCAAAATCACACAGACAGACACACACCCCAATGCAAAAGTCAAAGCTGATTCACCGCCTTTAGCATAACCACTATTTCACTAAGATTAGCAAGTTAACCTTGATAATCCTTCAGTACAACCTGCTAACACATCTTTGAACTGTACGAACTCTGCATTTCAAAGCTGGCAGTCAAAAAGGCCTTGGTTTTGTAGTCAAGCACGCCTGTGCTTGTCTCCAGTTTCTGACACTATTTGTGACCTCACACTAATTATTTATCCTTGCAAAGCCTTAATTTCTACCTTTATAAAACAGGGCTACAACTACTTTCTTGCAGGATTTCTGTAAGAATATTGTCAGTGTATATAAAGCACCTAGCACAGTATATTCAAAGTAGCAGGGGCTAAATAACTGATAGCTTGTATTTAGCGCATAAAACGGAACCTACAGAATCACGTTCAGAAGATAATCTTATTTTATCTGTTCCATTTCTCCTCACTTTGCAGAAAAGGAATCTTGTACAAGATCACAAAGCTAGCTGGTGGTTTAGCCAGGGCTCTAACTTCCATGCTAGTACTCTTTTCAGTTATACCACTTTGCCCACTTTGGGGGGGATCAGAATACTGAGAGAGGAGAAGAAGGATCTAGGAATCCATTTCTGATTCTCAGTACAGTTTTCGACAAGTAACACATCACAGTGAGCAGAAAAGATGTCATGATAAATTAAGGCAGTTAACTATAATGTTTTCATTTTATGAGGGTTACACAATAATTTTATAATAGATTAAATTTATTTTTTCAAATAATTATTGTTAAAAGTCATCCTAGAAATTAGTTCTCACTGGCCCTCAGGGAAATGAGATCTTAGCCAATCTTTAAATAATACTTCCCATTTTTCTCCAAAGGTTCATTTATTTGACAAAGATAAGGCTTTTTTAAAAAAAAAAAAGAAGATGTGAAGTTATGGAATACTTATGAATGAATGTGATGTCTAAAAATTAATTCAAAATAACAGAAGACAAAAGGAGACAGTAGGGGAACAGAGGAAAAGATTGGGCATATGTTGATAATTACTGAAACTGGCTAATGGGTACATGGATATTGATTATACTATTTTGTCTACTCTTGCATATAAATTTTTCCACAATAAAAAGTTTTAAAAAGTAATACTGAAAAAGTATTACTCCATTTTAAACTATCCAAACTTAAAATAACAGTTTAAGTACTGTTTTCCACTGTATATGTAGTCATTTATTTAAAAAAAAAAATTGATTATGTATTAGGTACTATGCTATACACACAAAAAACTGAGGGAGGGGAAAAACAAACAAACCACACAAAACCATGAGTCACCATCCCAAATGCCTCAAGTTGCTTGAACCAGCCGGGTGTCAGCTAGTTAGAGAACTAATAATGTGGTAAGTGCTAGAACAGTGCTATGAGGAAAAAATGCAATGCGAGGGATGCACCAAAAGAGGGTTCATTATGCTGATAAAAAGAACTAGATCCTAGTAAAGATTTCCTACGCAGAATGACATCTGAAGATTGGATTTTCAGCCAGGGGATGGAAAGTGGAGAATGTTCAGGCATTCAATGCAGGAAGAAGTTGCACTGAGCAAAAACAAAAAGCCCAGAGAGAACACGTTGTGCTGAGCATTCCAAGTAGCCTGCAGTGTCCCTGGTGTGCTGGTGGGTGAGTGTACGGCAGCAATAGGCTGGGAAGGTTCCTTAGGTCCTATTTAAAGGGTCTTATACACAGACTGAGTAATCAACATAGTCAGGAGTAAACTAAACTTTTACAGCACAGAAGGGATACAGCCAAATTTATCTACATTTTAGAAATATTACTCTGTTGGTAGAATGGATGACAGCCTTTAGAATAAAGGATGAGGCACAAAGAATATTCACTAAAAAGATGAAGGTCTGGACCAAAGAAATAGGAGAAAATGAAAAAGAGGGGCAAGGACTTCAGAAGTGTGACTGGCAGGATTCAGAGACTGGTATGTGTAAAGGGGAGAATAGGGAGACTCAAAAGTAAGAGCAAGGATTAGGGGAGTAAGGTTTTTTCTCTAGAGCATGAACTTGGGGTAACAGCGATCCTATTAAGCAATACAGGGATCACAGGAATAAAAACCTGAAGATAATAAATTTAGTTTTCAATGTGTTGAAATTGAAGGTCTATTAACACTCTCTCTAGTAGGTCATTTTAGGGTAGGAGTTTGTGCTCAGGAGACGAGAGCTATGGTTGAAAGTCTGGGAGGCGTCTGCATGTATATGACTAAGCAGCAGCAATTACCCAGAGAGAAGTGAGAGGGTAAGCAAGATACAGGAGCCCAAGTTATCTCCAGTTCGGCCTTTGCCACACAAACCTCCAGGACGTTTGCTGTTGTTATTGTACTTGTTTTCATTTCTTTACTATTATTTAAAATATTTTTCATTTAAAAAAAAAAAAAACCATACAGTCCCCCAAAACATTTCTCATTTTCTTTTTTTCTCTTTACAAACCTAGTGCAATAGGCTAAATAACGACCAAATCCAGGCTACAGCTCCAATCTACAAAGTCAAGGCAGGACTTCTGGACCCAAATGATGAGTAAAGCAGAAAGTGAGCCAACCAACATAACACCACCAGGCTACCTATTGCATATCAGAGGCTTTAGATAACACCGATGTGCAGCCTCGAGTACATTACGTTACTTAAAATATTTCACAAAGTCAATAAGCAACATCCCAAGTTACTCACCAGGCCTTTGATCCTGTTCCAGTACACAAATTGAGCCCTGAACTCTTCTGTTTTTCCCATGGACCATCATCAACTGAAATCTCATAGTAGGAAGCCCTATGAATTGAGAATATAAAACTGGATTTGCTGAACTTATGGCTCACAGTAAGTAAGACAAACATCGTTTCTTCAGAACTAATAAAATCTAAGTGGGCCAGCTTGACTTTGACATACCTGACTTAGTAGGCACGCACACCATGATGCTAATACCAATACTAAGTGAAAAAGTTAAAAAAAAAAAAAAAAATCTGTGTATCTCCATCCCTCTCTGATCCATATGGTCCTTTCTATCAATATTTTAACATTTCAAACAAGGGCTCCTGGTAAATTTTTACCTACCATAACCTCTACTGTATTTATGGAACCTAACACATACAGAGCCTTATTTCACAATTCAAAAAGAAAATACCGTTCTTAGGTGAGTTTCATTCTCAGTAGCTAGTCCTTGATAGCTCCAAGTCTGTATCTAACCCTTCAAGTTGCCAACAGTTTCTGCTCAACTTGTTTAAGTTATATACTAATGTGCCTTTTGAACTGATAGTAAGCTAAGATCAAGTTCTAAAGAAAATTCTCAAACGGTACTGCATCAGTAGACAAAACTAGGAATAAAACTAGAACTGTAATTTCTTTAAAGATTTCTATTTCTTAGAGTAGTTCATAAATATGAAATCAAATGGGTTTTCTGACACCAGCAAAAATGACACTGTTCTTTAACTGTATGAACATATAATTTGCAATTATTAAAAAAAAAAAAAACTCGTGAAACCTGTAAAAGCCTATTTTGTAAAACTGTATCTTAAATAATGGTGTCATTGATCAACACTGGGTTATTTTTGTCCAGCAAATAAAAAAGTTAAACTCAATATAGCTTTTCCAATAACGACAATTATTAGACATGCTTGCAAACACTAACACTCAATGGATAATTTATCTCTTAACCCTCAATTCTCCTGCCAAACTCAATCTGTAAAGGTTTTACATGGCACAACTCCTTTTCGTGTTTTCTCTGAAGTCACCATTCTTCATAAAAGATAGCAGGCCTTATATTTACATTGAATCTATTTCATAGCTTTGTTATATCTTCCTAGAAAATTAGGAATTTTAGGCGTATTAGGAGCCTATTACATTCAGACAAGCCAGTCAACTCTATAGGAATGGCTGCTATTATGCTAGAATCACATAGAAACAAATGAGATTAGAGGTAAGTGGGGATAGAAGAGAAACAGGTGGAGAGGAAGAAAAGTATAGTCAGGTGAGGGGTGTTGAGCCCAAAACAATGAGCAAATTTAGTGTCATTCTCACATGCAGGTTTATCAAGATTAGTCAACTCAGAATTTTTGTTTCAGGGAAATTATTTTTTTAAGGCAGCAATAAAACTCACAGTCCCTTTAGAGTGGGTATACTTCTTCTTAAATTGTCCACTGCTACAGCCCAAGAATAAGACATTCTAGGTTAGAATAGAAAAGAAAAAAAAATTGGGCTTTTAAAATGTTCTTAAATCTAAGAACATTATAAATGAGGCAGGAATAATATTGCTGCACTTCATATTTTCCAAGCAAAGCCCTTAAGTTTTCAGGATTTTCAGGGCATAGTGAAGCCTCAATACAGGACCTGGAATCAGAAATACTGGGTATACAATGATAGTTCTGATGCTAACTAATGATAGGACCATGGGCAAGTTATGTGAACTCTCCAAATCTCAACTTTTTCACTGATACATACAACTACCTTTCTCACAGGGTTGCTATGAGCATGTAATGTGGTAATATACACAATATTCATAAAGCCTGACACATAGCAGGCATCCAGTAAGTATTCATTTCCTTTCTAAGGGTCTATGTCATAGATTCCTTAAAAATAAGTTCTAATACCTCCTATAGTGAAAACTTTCTCAATAGCATCAGAAGCGCTACTGTCCTTATCTTAGTAAGGATATAAGGTGAGGCTCAACACAAAAAGAAGCAGCATCAGACATTATTTAGGAGATAAACCAACCAAATCACTGCTGCCACAGAAAAAAACATTCAATCTAAAACCTAGTAGGACTTCACTGAATTCCCAGAAGTCTGTCAATCGATCCCAGTTTTCCTCCTTTTATAAGTTATTTGATTTTTAGTAAGTACAAATTACAAAGCAACACTCACTAGTAGAATCTCTCGGAAGTTATAACCTTTAAAATACACAAACAATAACATAAGCCATAAATGGCTTCTCTAGAATCGGCATAAACTCTCAAAACACTTTTACCTTTGCCATCTATTTTATTATTTTTTATTCAAGCTTAATTAACATACAGTGTTATATTAGTTTCAGGTATGCAATATAGTAACTCAACAATTATGTACATCCCTCAGCGCTTATCAAGGTAAGTATACTCTTAATCCTCTCTATTCACCCAACCCCCTGCCCCCTCTGGCAACCACCAATTTGTTCTCTGTATTTAAGTCTGCTTTTTTCTCTTTTTTCTATTTGTTTTGTTTCTTAAAATCCACAAATGAGTGAAATCACATGGTAATTGTCTTTGACTTATTTCACTTAGTATAATACCCTCTGGGTCTATCCATGTTGTTGCAAATGGCAAGATTTCATTTGTCTTCTAATGTAGACACTCTCCAATTTCATTTAAAGTTGTTGCTCTCTGCCTTATGTTTTTAGTAATCATGATTAGATTATACCACTAATTAGAATTACATTTCCTGCCTTCTCTGTCACCAAGTATCCATCATTCATTTCCATATTATTTCAAACTTGATATAGAGCAAAAGAAAACATTTTATGTGTAGCATGAGTTTTATTACTATGTTAAAATAAATGTATTTACACTTTGTTCTTTAAAGAATATACTTTTGATTCCTTCAAAGAATTTTACTTTTAAATACTTTTTAAAATTATGTATTTTACCACCCTCCAAAAAAATAAGATGCTACTTCTACCTTTATCTTACTTATCTTTACATCCTTAGTGACCTGCATATAGCACATAGCAGGTACACAATACATTTTGCTGAATTTAAAATTACATTAATCAAAATAATTACAACTGAAAAAGACTGTTCAAGGCATTCTACTCAATCAGGCTTTGTTCTTTTCAGTACTATCTGAATTAGTCATTGGCTAAAACATGGGTGTCTTTTAATTAAGACAAATATTTCTCATCATAATTAAACTTATGAAAAGACAGGTCAACAATCAGAATTTCAGAATATATGGAACTCTCAGTAAACTAGGGAATCAACTACATGACCTCAAAGGGTCACACGGTTCTGATAGGAGCCACGTGGGACAGAGACTCATCTCTAATTTTCCACCCCTAATTTACTTACATCTACAAAAATGAGAAGGCAAGTTCTAAATGGCAACCAAGAGTTTAATTAACTTTACATTATGGCAGTCATTTTATAACTGGTAACTAATATCACATGAAAGTTTTGAAAAAAATTCTGCTGACCATTTAAGGCTAAATTATATTCAATACCCACAAAACAGATTTCATCAGTAATAAAACCATACTATACTTTTATACTCCTACTGAAGAACTTTATTAACCTTAGTTTTTGCTAATAATGATTACAAATCTTTTTTTTTTTTTTTTTTTTTTTTTTACAAATCTTAAACTGTCAATACACTTGGCTTATGATGTTGCATAAGGGATACAATTACCACCAAGTAGTATTCCTGCCAAAAGTGTTTAGTCTGAATCTTATCATGCAGAGAAAAAAGAAAATCACACAAATCTAAAACAAGGGATATTCTGCAAACTAACTAGCTTATTCAAAAATATTAATATCAGGAATGACAAAACGGGTGGGACTAAAGAACGATTCTTAATTCTAAAGGGCCATGATGGCCAAATACAATGCATAATCCTTAACTGGATCCTGGATAAAAATAAGCAAACAAATCAGCCTTAAGTGACATTATTAAGGTAATTAGGAAGTTTTAATATGGACTGTCTATAAAAGTTTTATAACCACTGAAAATGTATGCCTAGTATATCATTCTCTTAAACATTTATAAAGCACCTATATGATAGATTAAAGGCTCTGTAGTAATGGAACCTGAATAACTTTGTTTAACCTAGGGCTTCACAAACTTTTTTGCTCATAGAACCTTCTCTCTTCTTAACATGTATTATAAATGTGTGAGAAGGTTTTGGAAATATTTCATTAAATAATTCATTTCTATCACTTATACCATATTAATTATTCATAATTCTTAGGATGCAGAAATCAAATAAATATCTAAAAAATACTAAAACATTAAATTCCAAACTCAAGAATACAGGTTTAAAAGCACCTGGATGACAGACTCTCCCCGATGAAGACTTCATTTAGTGCCCTCACTGGCAAAAGCTGGGGTCCTGAAGCCTCAGGTCCTGTAGTAATGAAAAGAAAAACAACTTGTTTAAATTTTAGAAATGTTAGGATTTAAATTTTATAAAATATTAAAATATTCATACTTTTGTTTCAATAGAATCTACTTTAACATTATTAACATAGAAGTTAAATCTCATATTTAGAGTGTTCATAATGAACCTCAAAATCACCTAACATATCTCCAAAGAAGCCTCTCTCTCTCACCAAAATAAACCTTAATTCTTCTTGAAACAATATTTTAAGAGTGATGAAATATACTTATCCACCTCATAAGATTCTTATTGTCACACTTAATTTCTCTCTGAGAGCTTCAGACGTGGAAATAATCAAGTACTTCCACAGGAGCCACTTTGGATTTCAGCAGCAAATTACACACATGGCTCATATTGGAAACCAAATCGGTTATATATTAGAGATCACTGAATCTCTGAATACCAATCTATAGCTTTCTTATAAAGCCAATGAATTTCAGAGCCAAATCTTGAACATCTCCGGTGATAGGAATAACTTCTTTTGGCTAGGGATAAAGTAATATTTCCAACTAAAAATTTAAAATCTTTAAGATATGACACGAACACATAGTTTAAGAGCAGCCCAACCTATAAAGCTATAAATCACCATGAAAAACTCTGAAAATCATGAGATAAGACAGAAACAAAGCAGATACGTAAAGGTAGCTTTTCCTGATAAGTTTAGCCAAGAAATGAAACACAGGAGGAAAAAAATACCTTTTTATACAGTCCACAGATATTTAGTATATCTCTTGGGGTCTTCCTGTAGCATGAAAGCCTTAAAATTACTGGGAAAATATGGCTAAATTATAATCCACAAAACTGAGAATTCACCTTAACACTTACTAAAAAAAAAAAAAAAAAGCTGCATATCACCTTATACTAATATTCTCTTAGCAGCTTACAGAGATGTCTGGAACACAAATCTTAAGGCTGCAATGCAAAATTTCCCAACAAAAAGATTTTAACCAACAACTATAACTATGATAGATATATTTAAATATGGCTATACAAATGTATAATTATTAAGAAATCTATAGATTAGGTCATTTCTACTGCCTTTCTCTTTTTGACATTTTAAAGATTAAAGCCAAGAATCCTTCCTTAAATATCAACTATTCTGTTAGACATTTTATAATTCTTTCATATTTCATGTTTTCAAACCCATCCTAGAACACATTTCTTTTAGAAGTATGCTTATTTCTTATTTCTGTATCTAGTCATATTACATTTTACACCTCAAGTAGTTCACTGTATTTTCTTAAATGTGGTCAGTAGCACTAAAATCCCCAAATAATTGTAAATTATCACTTATATAAATTAGAAATCAAAGGAACAAGAAGTTAAATACTGCCCAAACACATCTAATTCCCAATCTACCTACTTTCATCATGAACTCTTTCAATGTTGAAGGCTCTGCTATGTTGATTCAAACTTAGCTGCTGTTCGTGGAGGTCCACAGGAACAGGGTTTATGCCAGTCCCTTCAAGGTACAACCTGATTCGCTGCCTCCATAACCACCTTAGAAGAGTGAAGGAAAAGCAAATATGTTAAGATAAAATAAACTTAGGATGAGGCATTATAATTTCACCAAATTAAAAAATTCATATTAAAAACCTAGTTATTGGGTGCCTGGGTGGCTCAGTTGGTTAAGCAACTGCCTTCGGCTCAGGTCATGATCCTGGAGTCCCTGGATCGAGTCCCGCATCGGGCTCCCTACTCAGCAGGGAGTCTGCTTCTCCCTCTGACCCTCCCCCCTCTCATGTGCTCTGTCTCATTCTCTGTCTCTCAAATAAATAAATAAAATCTTTA